ATTTCTAATAACGATAATAATATAGAATTAAACAATATGTCAAAGATATTTCTTACGAAGTGAAAAAAGGCTTGAAATGTCCGCCGAGACAAACTGTTGAAAAGTGGTCATTTTGACACAACGCGCCATTTTTTACGGTTTTATAATCTGGCCGAAATTTGAATTTTTTTCACAAAATTTTCCGTCTCGAACCGTCTTCTGTCGCGTTGGGGAAATCTGGCATTAAGAATACTGGTATCTGTTATTAAGGATTTCTTCAACGTTCCTACGCGGCTGCGAGGGTCGGCCGTCTAGTTTTCTTAAACGGATTTTACATTTTACCACGCGAAGTCGCGAAGCGACACCTGCGGCCGCGTCAACGGGACAATCAGTTAATCAATCGCTCCAAGGATACGACGAAGTTTATTAAAAGCCTGAACAATTTTCACACCCGGTCTACTAGCAACAACAGTTACGCTGACGAAAAATTTAGTTTGGCCTCAACCTTCTTGGATTTTCTTCCAAACCCGGTGATGGTGTTCCTTGTGCTCGGACCGGTCGTCCGCACGAACGAAATGTTTCGTTAATTCTTTGACGGTAGATTCTGCACGGTGTATACGGGTCTGTCGACTTAGTACCGACTACAGCCTTCGGGTATTTAAATCTATTTGAACCGAGTCGATGCCAGTGATTTTAATCGCTTTGTCGTCGCTACAAAAAGTCGTCGATATTAAAACGGCGGTATTCCGACGGCGCCGGCAACTGTGGGTAGCCGCGTTCCGCTCGAGTGGCCGTCGCTAGGCCACGGCGGCAACAGACGGAACGCGCGACGTTGTATCGTACGGTACGTGACCGGACAAACGGACGATTATTTTGTCGAAACTTCCGGTCGCAACTTCTCTCGATTCTTTTCTATCAACCAGGTGTGTTGACGCGTGGTCGCAACGGCGCGATCGAAGACAAACGCGTTTGCGGTATCAGAGTCGTAGATTCGTTATATATATTTGGGTACGTTTTAAAGCCTACCAAAAGTCTTCTCGCGCAATACTACTCCATCGAGTGAGTCGACGAACATCCTAAAATAAGCAAAACAATTTTCGTGGTTACCACATATTTTACGAAATTGCCCCTTTCCAGCTTACCGGTCTACCCACCGTTGAATCCGATATCAAATTTGTATTCTTTTCTCACCGAGCCAATGAAAAGAAGCCAAATACTCGCCGGCTCTTCCAGCCAATAAACAAAATTTCCCCACGAAAAACTAAAAATTAGAAAAAATTTTGGATATTTTCTAGTCGCGGCTACGTATTTGCTTCCGGCGCACTTGTATTTGTTCAATCGCGAGCTTCAGGCGCATTTGTATCGCCCCTAAGACCCTGTACACACTAGGCGTTTTTCAACGCGCGTTAAACGCGCGCTTTTAAACGCGCGTTTAACGCGCGTTTAAAAGAACCAAGAGTTCTATGTAGCCGTACACACTCAAAAGCCAAGCGCGCGTTAAACGCGCGTTTTGCGAGCGCTTATAGATTTTTGTTAAAACGCGCGTTTTGCGAGCGCTTTACGGGCGCTTTGAGATATATGTGCTGCCATGTTACCGTACATGCGATCGCGCGTTTTGCGGGCGTCAGCCGAGCGCTTTGAGATATATGTGCTGAAATGGAGAACGATCATTTCGATACTGATCTATTTATTGATGAAATCTAAAAGAGACCAACCATCGTCAAAGGATTTTATAGATATTTTAAAAGAATTAAAAAACTTGAATTTATTTTGTCTTAGTTTTGGATACAACGTCGCAAACATTTCATGCGTCAGTCTATCTCGTAATATTGGGTGCACCCAAAATTCTCTTTGCCTCCGCCCTCGTCTTTTATAGCGACGATAGAGGAGCCACACACAAGCAATCACTTCCACATCCATTTCCAAACCGAGCCAGTGCCCACGCTCCGCTAAACGCTCGTCAAACGCGCGTTGAAAAACGCCTAGTGTGTACAGGGCCTAAAAGTCGTCTCGGCAAACTCGTCCTTACGCTATAATGTCTTAGACAACGAGACTGAAATAGTCCGAAATGGGAAATATTATGGCCCAGCGGAAAAGTAGTCGGCGGCACTCGTCTTCTTTCCTCGAAAACTCTTCGGGAAGGCCGCGAAACTTTAAAAAGGCCTGGAAAAATCCAACTTTTAGTTGAGGAAAAGGTGGTATTATGGAATTCCTCCATTTCGAACCGATAATAAAGGCGAACGGTAGCGGATTGTGGCCGAACCGCGCTTGGCGAACATTCGTAGTCAGGGAAAAGCCCGTTTCGCTTCGGTTAAACGGTTGTCCGTATTTAATCGGCAAATTTGTTTTTTTTTTTTTTTCAAAATTGGCAAATTTTGAATGCTAAGCGAATTTAATTATTTCTAAAATATAAATCGTGTAGTTGTAGATTCGCCGGTGCGCGTATTCCGTTCCAGAGACTTAGGGGTATTGTACATATTAATCTGCGCCATGTTCACGTTTTTTAAAGTTTGGTCTCGACAGACATAAGTTAATTCGAGAGAGCGATGCGTGAAATACGGACTCCATTGGTGCTTTTAATACGAAATCCAACTCCTCCGAACTCTCTCTTTGCGAGCAGACATTCGTTCGGAGCGATTTGTGAAAAAGACACTAGGTAAAAAGCCTGAGAATATCAAAAAAGAGCTGCTGTAATATATATTGTCGAAGGAGGTCGTATTTTTCTATTATAAAAGCATTTTTTCGATAAAATACATTGGAGTAAATAATTTTGTAATTATTTAACATTTTTTGTACTTTCCTATTTGTTTTTGGATATATTAAAACATTTTTTGAAAACATATGGTAGGGTTCCGTATTACCACCCGATTTTCTCTAAGCCTACTTTTGGACTTTTTGTACAAAAGCCTTCAAAAACCATACTTATAGTTACACTAGAGAAAAATCCAATTAGGAACATTTAGTTTACTAGTTACCAGTACTTTTCGCACAAAAAATGTGGGTGTAGTTCTCGTTTACAATTCAGTATAATGTAATTGGGGTTCCATAATGCCACCTTCTCCTCTATTATTTGTTGGTTTTTAACTAAATAAATAGTGGATCTTCGCGTAGTGTTTCCTTTACGGCCTATATTCCAGGACATATTTTACCTTACGTCCGTACTTCGGGCCGCCTGTAAAGGCGTAAATATACTCCACCCCTGGCAAAACGTTAGGCGTAAAATTGTGTGGCAGAAAACTGAATCAGAAATTATCTTCTTGTTTTACGCTTTTACGCCAGAATACACGTACGTAAAAATTCTGAACGAATAGGAAACGCCACTGCCACTAACGGCGCTACATTTTATTAATTTTTCTCTCTCATAGGCCTATATCTATCTCTTTGTATCTCTTTGTACCTTCCATTTTTTCTCCGCTTCCTCCGCTATAGAAAATTTAAATTAACAGACTCGTATTCGGAACTGAAATAAAGAACGCGAGATCTAAATAGTAGGCCTATATATCGATTCTACTAGACCAGTGTTTCTCAACCTGTAACGAATCGTCGCCCCTTCAATAAAACCGTTAGGTAGTATCGCCCCCTTCCCTTGAAAATTTCGATGCCGAGGGCCAGGGCTAACGCCAAATTCGTACCGCATCGAATAGACTAGCGACTAGTATAATGTTATTTGTTTAATTATTGTACGTTATAACCAATAAAATAACTAATTAATCTTAATATAATGTTTTACTATATAGTCCAGAAAATTGTTTTTCGCGCCCCAAAATATCAATCGTTACAAATCTCCCCCTCAACACGGATAAACGTCCACACGGGGGCGATATCGCCCCCGTTGAGAAACACTGTACTAGACCTACCTGTTATTTGAAATTTAGCACCTACGGCCGTCCGTAAACGTTTAAATACAATGTTTTTTATACGTGACACGGATGAGGGCGAACGGATTCGATAAGCTCCTCTATTTCATTTATTTTTCGTTTTTTCGAGGTCGTCACAATTGTAGGGCTAATCGTCGTTGCCTCCATTGTTAGAATAGAAACCACGCGTCTACTTTGACCTCATAAAAAAAGACTTGTCTTTATTGGAGGAATTTTAACGTAAAAAGTAGAGACACACACTACTCTTTTTTCAGTTACGTATCGGCCAAAGTTTCAGAAAAATTTTTACGCTTTTTGCTTTATGCTAGATTTTACGCCGAATTTTACGCGCGTGTATTCCTGGCCTTACCGGTCGTCGTCACCGGCGTAAATTTAATTCGAAATCTTTTCCGACGCTTTGAGGGCAGAAAGCGAAAACGAATTTCGATTATCGTCGTTGGAGCGGCCGGATGGCCGAGCGGTCAGGGTGGCAGCCTACCGCTCTGGGGGACCCGGGTTCGAATCCGAACGGGTCGAAAAATCCCCAGGAATTTTTCGGGGGGTGGTCCGTTCGGATATGTCGGGCCCCGTCCCTCACCACCCGGCAGCCCCATTGTGGGCCTGGCCGAACCCATAATGGGCTTGCAAAAATAGGCCCTCTTAGTGCCCCACAGGGCGGAAAGAGTTACCAAAAATAAAAAAATAAAAAAAAATATCGTCGTTGGAGGCCCACTCCGCTCGTCACCATAATTATTCTACTAAATCGATCGGCGTTTACCGAACGAAAGTATCTACGTTCGAAGCGTAAACGGAATCGCTCGTAAGCGACGCCTTCGACCGGTAAAAAAAGAATAGCCCGACCCCCGTTTTCGGCTAGACGTTCCGTTGCCTTTCCCGTTAACGTAAACTACGGAACGGAAAATCTGCCATCGATCTTCGTCGGGCCGGGAATCCCGCCGTTTTCCGATCGATACCAACCGGAAACGGAAGAGTCCGCGGCGCTAACGGCGCCATTGCCTGGGTAAACTACCAAACCCGACCTATCGTCGAGTTTGGCCTTTAACCTCCCGACGCGGGTACTGCGTTTCTTAAGCCGGAGATTAGAGGTTAGAAGAAGAGAGGAGCGTAACCGTCGGGCGGGTTAAAGGTGACGCGGTCCTCCGCCCAGAGCCGGGAATCGATCGATCGGCGTCAATCTTCGGCGCTTTTTTCACGCCACGGGAGCGGGAAGAAGGGGAGCGAGCGGAGAGACAGAGAGAGGGAGAGAAACGACGGCGCGCGGCGACGATCGATTTGTGCTCCGACCGCATCCGCGCATCCCGGCCGAGGACGGAGCGGACGAATGGCCGAAGCGGGGCCGAGAGAAGCCCTGCGCCTGGCCCTGTTGCTGGGCCTGGCCTCGGCCGCTGTCTGTCAGGGCCACCTGGACGCCAAGCGCCTGCACGACGACCTGCTCAGCGACTACAACAGCCTGATCAGACCGGTGGCCAACCAGTCCGTCAAGCTGACCGTCAAACTCAGCCTCAAGCTCTCCCAGCTCATCGACATCGTGAGTACCTTTCCTTCCGCCTCTTCCTCCGACGCCCGTCCCCGTCCGCGCCCGTCCTCCGCCGCCTAGGACTCCAGATGGCGACACGCGCCCGACTTCGGCGGCCCGGACCGGAAGCGGCCGTCGGCCCGGCGCGGCGCCTCGGCCGCTATCTTTCCGGGTCTCGTCGCGGAGCGAAAGTCTCCGGACGGAACGATCCGGGGATTTAAAGTCGGGCGCGCGGCTAACCCCGGCGCTCGGGACGTTTGCCCATTCTCTCTCGAAAAAGGGCGTAATTACCACCCGAGCGGGGTTACGGGCGGCGACGGCGAAAGCGGACGGCGAATTTTATCCCGGGGCGGTTACTTTGCCAGTAATTTGTTCGTCGGCGGCGGAACAACTCCCGTCGTCCTCTTCGACGAATTTAACTTCGTACCGGAAGACGATCGAAGGTCGGGATAAGAACGATGTTCCGCGGATTGGGTCAAATTCTACGCTCCGCCCGAGGCTCCGGGTATTTCCGGGCGGAAACGGCCCGCGGGTGTAATTCAATTTTGCGGAGAATTGAAAGACACGCGTCGGATAACGTTCATCGGCGCGTGACGAATGCCACGTCTTTCCTCGATAATAATTTCGACATGGAAAAAACGGAGCAAATTTCGACGACCGTCGTGACGGAATCGGTCCGGAGACGTTGGGACACCGACATCGGTACGGGAGTGGAGGGGAAGCGCGGGCACCGCCGAGTGCGGCACTACGGGACCATTTTCGAATTCGAATGCGACGCGGGCCAAATCAAACGGTAAAAAGTCGATCGGGCGACGTTAAAGAGAGGGCCGACGGTGTGTAGTAGTTTCCTAAGAACCGTTTGAGCCCGAAATAAACGCTGGGCCACCGTCCGGCGGAATACGTTTTTAAACGGAGCGCGGACGTTGTCGATTACCTTTGTTATATTTAAGTGAGACGGACGGCCCGTGGCTCTTACGTAATTATTTTGCTCGAGTCCCGGTCTATTGGTCGAGCCCCAAATTGCCAGGCCCTAACTTTTTATTCCCTACGCGTCTTTCATGGTTCCAGCCGGGATCGGGTAGAGCGTAACTTTTTTATCCGCGCCAATAAATTAGTCCGAGCCGCGGGAAGATTATTTACCGTTAGAATCGGCAGGATCTTAAACTTTTTACCAAACAAATCCGGGAGGGAAGTTTTCTTCTTATAACAGAACGGAAATTTCCTGCGGATTTCCTTTACCCGCGAATTATAACTTTCGTTTCTAAATATAAAATGCGCGTGGTCTTCCAGACCTTTTAGTTTTTGGGTTCCGTACGAAACGGCCACGTAGTCGGCATAGAATATAACGTCATCGGGGATGGTTAAATTTATATGGTTTATACGTACAATACGTTAAATAGCCGCGGGCCTATCGTCCACTCCTTTGTCCGCTTTAATACCGTTCGAATCGAATTATTCGCTTTAGCGAGTAATATCGACCGGAGAGATACGAAATTATCCGCAGCGACGGACGATCTTCCGCACGGGGTTATATCATTTTTTCTAAAACTGTTACGTCTTCGCCGTCCAACGCTTCGGTCCTAGGCCTACGGTGGAAAACCGCGGTTACTACCCGGTATTCGGATGGGTAACTATATTGTTACGTTGCTCCGAGTGGGTTATTGCCTAGCGGTTAAGGTCGATGATGCGTTCTTGTATTAATATTAAGAATATTTTATAAAAAGAGGTTTTTCGACGATTTTAGTGGCTATCGAAGCTGCGGTAATAGGCCGTAAAATCCACTTTACGGCTTTTAGTTTTAAACGGAATATTGGGAGAACCGGATTGCGGGAAATAAATCGTTTTTAAACCGTCGGTTTACCCGGAAGGACGACGAGGCCACCGCGTTGTCGCTGTTTCGAAATTTACGTAGCCCGTCCGTCCGTTTTAAGTCCGATAATTATGTTAAAAACTTCCGTCGGAGATTCTTATATACCGTCCGGTATATAAGAACATCCGACGTAATGGTTAAACACTGGTCGCTTTGGTCTAGAAATTTTAGGGGAGGAGGTGGACAAACCTTTCGTTTGTCTATAAATATCGGCCGAACCGTTGCGGATGATATCCCGGTTAAAGCGCGTTTTACCTTTTTAGTCGACGATCCGCGTATTGTACTGTACAGTACTTTTTTAAATAACTTTTACTGGTGATTTCCTGATAGGGTTACGAAAGTCGGTCGAGGTGTGTATTTTAACCGATTTAAATTTCCCCACAAAAAGAGTTGCTACAAATTGCGCGGCGTGGCTCGTGTTGTTCTCAATTTACGATACGGATTGTTTTAAAATTTTCAAACCGTCGTTTGTTTTACTCGAGATTCCAAAATAATTATTTCAAAACATTATAGGAAATTCGGTTCAAACTCTTTATCTACGGCTCGTGCGTAGATAAGAGGTCGGCGGTCGCCACAGACATTCGTTATTCGTTCATTATTATTTATTAACGTATTGGTACAATACATACTCGGTACCGTTAAGCGCAGCCCAGTGGAAACTACTGTATATACAAATAAAAAAAAGATACAGTAAAGTAAATATAAGGTATTAAATTACAGTATTGTAACATCTAGTAAGGTGTGGGGAAGTACAACGAGAAGTGGGGTGTAGTTGGAGACAATAAAATATATTACAATACGATAGCATTTCAAAATATTTCAAAATACAAAAATAAAAAAAAAAAACATAAGTAGAGTATATGTACAATCAAAAAAACAGTAAAATATAGCCTATACAGGAGAACTCGCGTTTAAAAAATACAGTATTACAATACAATACAGTAAACTTATATACCAGTGTTTCTCAGCCTCTAACGAATCGTCGCCCCTTCAATAAAACCGTTACGTAGTATCGCCCCTTCGCTTCAAAATTCCGATGTCGAGGGCCGAGGCTAAAGCCAAATTCGTACCGCATCGAATAGACTAGTCACTAGTATAATGTTATTTGTTTAATTATTGTACAGTACGTTATAACGAATATAATATCTAATTATTCTTAATATAATGTTTTATTATATCGCCCAGAAAACTGTTTTGCGCCCCCAAACATAAATTGTTACTAATCGGCCGTCAACGTAGAAAAACGCCCACACGGGGACGATATCGCCCCCGTTGAGAAACACTGGTATATAGGGATGGTTCAGTCGCTAGTGGCAAGAGAGGCAATTGCCTCGTGTTTCTTTACGAATCGATGAAGAAGCTCGAAAAGTTTTTATTTTTTAGAAGGTCGAGGTCGCCACCTTCTAAAAAATAAAAACAGGGGGGTCACCGTACGCGGACCTATTCCCATGCCAAAATGCATTATTTTACGGGGACGGTTCAAAGCGCGGGTGATGACTTTACGCGGGCGACGATACTAGCGGATTTCACTGTACGTAAGACGGTGCTTCATTGGGAAGTTGTTACTATCCGAAATTTGCGTAACGTTATAATATCGACGTAATCCTTAGCGAGTTCGAATATCGATCGGTAGTTTAGATCTTTATTAAATTAATAATACAATACCATTGCCCGGATTGATTTTTCTTTCGATTTTATTTGCATTATAATTATTTATTTGAAAAGGATAATCGTTGGTTTGGCGTAACGCCGATAAACGAAATGTACCGTACGGTACGGCGATAGTAGCGATAGTTTAAGTAATTTCAACCAGTCTTTTATTTAGACGAGGAGCGCCGTAACCGATGGGAAAGTGGCGAGGTACGGAAGTAAAGTCTCGGCGTTATTAAAAAGGAAATAGGAAAAATTTAAGCGCCGACCACGGACCCATTTGCCGGGAAAACAATTTATATGGTAAAAAATTATAACGCCATAAATTTCGACGGATAGCGATTACTCTTTACGTTTCATTCGCCTCCGTCCGGGCTTTGGTTTTCTTTTCTTATTTTAAAATAATTTTCTAAAATCAAGGACGAGGAAATCGAGACTCCGGACTCTCCCAATGAGGCTTTGTCTCTTAAGGTACGATCCCAACCCCTTAAAACAGACCGTACGAACGAGTTGGTAGGCGCGGAGGCTAATGCCGCCGACTCAAAATTCAAATTTACAGCTAGACACGGCGATAAAAGTAGTCAAATCTCGTCGATGGGCTACAATTTGAAAAAATCGTACATCTATAAATTCCCACCGTTGCATCCGGAGAAAGGAGTTAGATAGACCACCGGCAAGACGGGAAAAGTATGACGCGCGGGGGCGAGACTATTCATTTCGTGCGGAGAGCATATTTTACATTAAATAAATTTAAAAAATGCCATCGAGAATTGTAGTCCGGCACAATAAATAATTGTTAGCTTCCTTTATAATTCCTTTTTTAGCTACGTAACGATATAAAGATTGTCGGAAAATTATAATTTTGAGTTTGTGTAAGTAGATCGGCCGACGTACGAACCGTCCGTAGCTAAAAACGACCTACATTGGATATACCAACGTACAGTACTGTACTGTACGACGAACGGATCGATAGGCCGTCCGTTGTCCGGCAACCGTTCCGCTTTTCTTTTCAAAAGTATCCGCACGAAAATACCGCGGGGTACGAAAGGTGCGTAAACGTCGCTTCGGACGACAAACCCGGGTTTTGCGCAACCGGGACCGGCGACGATTCGAAGAAAAATGGCCGCGCTTTTCGTTTATTCGGTTTGGCCTTCCGCCGGACCGAAGCAAACGTCGTTTGGTGGTTTTAAAATATATGCGGATGGGTCGAGCACTCTTCCAATTTGCGCGCCAGTCTTTAGAAATAAAGCCGTTACTCCTCGCCGGCCGGAGGGACGGACGATAAAGATTACGGAATTTGAATTTGGTCCCGGCCACCGTAATTCCGTCCGTCGGGCTAAACGTTGGCCGTTATCCGCCCGTCTTTCTTCCCATTGCGCGTTCCGTCCTTTATTTCGACTCGGAAACACGTAATACATTTCACGCAAAACAGAAAACAGAAAACGAAGGTGTTAAAACCTAAAAAATTGGCGGAGAAAGCAAGATTACATTT